CCTGGTGATTGACCCTTGTAAGGGGCTCAAGCACTCCACTCCGAAGGCCCGAACCTTAAGGATTGGGAGCTTTGAGGTCAATTCAAACAAAGCCTGGCAGGGGGCTCCCTTACCTGGCACTCTGTCCCCCACTCCTTCCTGCCTCGACTTTAAGACCTTGCCTTCAGAGAGGCAGCCTGGGTTGAGGAAAGAACACCAACTTTTGAGTTTGGACGGTGACCCCTCTTGGCCTCAGTCTCCTCTCTGGTGATGGGGATGATTTCACGGAGATGCGGCTGAGGATTCGGAGGAACACTTAGGGGAGCATCCCAGCCACAGCAGGCTGCTCACCTCGTTGTCCCTCCTTCCCTCGCCTCACTCCCAAGCCCAGAGGATTGTGCTCCCCCTTCAGGCCCACGGGGCGTGGTAGCTGCTCTCACCTCCCCCTCGGATGCCACCTCCCACACGGTGGCCTCCCCACCACCCCTGTCCCGCCCCTGTGTTCTTTTGCGGATCCCAAAGGAGATAAGGCTGGGAAATCCAGAGAAGGAATGTGAGGTCTGCTGGAGTTAAGTCCTTTTAAGAACAACTGGAGGTGAGCCCGGCTCCCTTCCTCCATCCCCTGGGGCTGTGGACAGCCCTCGGTGCCCCTAGCTCTGCATATAGTCCGGCCCTGAGTGTGTCTCAGATGCCGTCAGTGGCTTTGAAGTACAGAAGCCAAGCTGCAGTGAGCTTCCGAGGGCGGGCTGTGAGGGACTGGGGAGAGGTCCGCGAGTGGGAGAGCAGGATCAGTCATCACTGCCTTCTGGCCCGAGTTCAGCTCATCAGGGCTGGAGGGGAGAGCGTCCTTGGTGCATGCAGAGGCTTGGTGAGGCGTGGGGCACACAGGCTGGGGGGGTCAGCTCAGTTTCGTCCCTGCAGGTTGCGAGGTATGCGGGCCAAACCAAATTGGGAAAATCATAAAACTCCTAAGAACTCTTCCAGAACAGTCCACGCAAACTGGGAAGCGTTCAAGGGCAGATTTCCTAAGGTCAGTTCCGTAGATTTCCATTCAGATAGTCTATAGGGCCTGCCTTTTATTTTTATTTTATTTTATTTTTTAAAAAGATTTTATTTATTCGACAGAGAGAGCACAAGCAGAGGGAGAGAGAGGGAGAAGCAGGCTCCCCGCTGAGCAAGGAGCCCGATGTGGGACTCGATCCCAGGACCCTGGGATCATGACCCAGGTCGAAGGCAGCCGCTTAACCGACTGAGCCACCCAGGCGTCCCAGGCCTGCCTTTTATTTTTAATAAACTCCCAGGTGACTGAGCTGGAGGTCTGAGGAACTGCTCCTGAAACTACACACACGTCCTCAAGGCGGGAAGGACTTTCTGCGGTCTAACCAGACTTTCCTGTTGTGAAACTTGTCTCCTCTGATCCAGGGTTGGCGGGCACCTCCTGGGCAGCACTGGCAACAGGAACCATGGTAACCAGGGGGTGTCCCCGGGCCTGGCTTTCGCAGGAGTGCCCACAGATGCGTCCTGGGCCCGTGCCAGGCCCTTGAGGGTTCGGGTTCCGACCCTACGGTCCAGCCAGAGCCAGAGTGAAGAGCCGGGCTCGCCGGCGGGGCTCAGTCTTTCGGGGGCGCGGTTCCCAGTCAAGGGAGGGGCTCGGGTCCCCCAAATCGCGGGACGCCGCGTGCTTCCGCGGGAGCTGAGGGGCGGGGCCGGGGCGGGCCCGGGGGCGGGGCCGCGGCGTGCGCGCGCTCTCGTTGCTATGGTAACGCATCAACATCCAGCGCCCGGGCTGCGCGGTGGGTAGCAGAGGCGGCGCAGGCGCAGAGCCAGGGCGTTCGGCTGAGATGGTGAGGTCCCGGGAGCACCAAGGAGGGGGGGTCTCCTGTGTCCTGACCTGGGTTGGGGTGCTGAGCGGGAAGAGCGAGGCGTTGGGGAGGGCAGAAAATGAGTCAGGGTCTGAGGTCAGGAAGGCCCAGGGGCAAAGAAGACATGCCTAGAAGCAGCAAGGGAAGTCCCGAGGAGGGTCCACGGGAGGAATTAGGGGTGGGGTCGATAGGGATTGAAAGCGCGGAGGGGTGCTGGCCCGGGAGTTGCGGAGAAAGGGACGTTCTCTTCCCTCTCCTTCAGGCTGGAGCCTCCACGGGCTGGGGATGATGGGTGGTGATGTGGGTCAACCGCAGGTGAGGAGGCCACATGCCGGGTTATAGGACCTGCTCGGCCACTGAGAGCAGAGTGACAAAGTCACCTAACGCCCCTGAGCCTCAGGTTTCTCTTCTGTTGGTGGGGCCTTGGTTCACTCAGTAGGGCTCAACAAGTATTTGATTGAATGAATGGGTGGGTAGGTACCAGGTTTGAAAGGCCCTGGGGAGGGATCAGGTGTGCTTTGGCAGGCCTGGGGTTCCCTGGGGTGGGAAGGATCCCGCAGTGGTGAGGGTTGACAAGGACACCAGGCCTGGGAGGAGCTATGAAGGGGTGTCTGGGTTCCAGTAAGGAGGGTGTTGGTCCCTGAGGGATAAGGCAGCGGGACAGAGGATAGTCATTGGAGCCTCAGGGTGTTGGAAATAACCTTAGAATTTCTGGGGCACACCAGGGGGCAGAGATGGTGCCCTGGGTATTCAGTGGACACATTTCGTGCCCATAGGTCACACTGCTTTTCTAGGGCTCAGTGGTTCCAATTCAGGGTCCCCAGGTAGGGATTTCAGAAGAGCTTTGTTAATTATATGCAAACAAGTCTCCAACAAAGAACGGTCCCCAATTTCTGGGGACTCCCTGTGGTGTTGCGGTGGGGGTCCCCTTTCACGGATCCGTTTTATCAGGCATAGTCATTCCGGGCTCTCCTCAGTGCTTCATAAGCGCAAGTTGTGTGTCTGTCTGTCTGTGATGGCCTAGCATTGCGTCAGGCCTCCCGGCAGGCAACCAAGAGCACATAGCAGCTCTTACTTCCTTTCTCTCCGGTTAAAACTATTCATATTTTCCAGTGCAAATTAATCAGTGCATTGCACTTAGGCTAGACTTGTGGGCTTTAGTGTACTCAGATCGGGATTCCCTGCCTACGGGCCACTCAGGGCAGGGGTCGGCCTGCTGACGGAGGCCTTCTGAGATCCCCCGGACAGGACTGGGCCTGCAGGCACCTTTCAGAAGCAGTGGGTCGAGTTAGTGATCTCCACTCTTCTGGCAGGCTGTGTGTGTGTGTGTGTGCGTGTGTGTGCGCCGCTCGCTAGCTTTTGAGAGTGTTTGGAGGAGTGGGGAGAGGTGCTGGCGGAGGCGGGGAGGCTGGGGCTCACAATGAGGCAGATTTCCAGGACTCTTCCAAAAACAATGAATAACACCATCCTCCAGAAAGAGGCTTGGGACCTCAGTCCTGACTAGGATGCCACCTTCAGATGGCATTCCGCTGATGGCCAACCTTGTCTCCCATTTGAGGAAAGAGGTGGCTCGGGTGCATCACTCTGTAAAAGGCAGATGCCTGGTGCAGGCGCATCCTCACCTTCTTGGTAACCAAAGCCCACAGAAAGGGAAATAGAATCGGGCCGAGCGCTGGGAGCTTGACTTTGCCAGCCCGTGAGGAACCTACATGCAAAAGGAAAACTGGACGGCAGGGTGAGGAGGATGTCCAGGAAAGGACGCAAAAGGTCTTCGTTCCGTTGACGGGTGTTAAGGTTACGTCAAGGAAACCCACAGCTGTCCGCGCCACCCCCGTACCAGCTCCTTCTCACCGGATTTGGGCTGAACGTACTGGATCGGGGACGTCCAATGCTGCAGTTTTTAAGGGCTACACTTCTGTGTTCAGAGTTAGGCACCAGCCCCCCGGCTAAGTTTGGTTTTCAAATAAATACAGTGTGTTACCTATAAAAAGAGTTACCTCCTCAATTGCAGAAAATCATTCACTGCGAGAACCATCTGAAGATAATGTTCATCCAAAATTTCTGTTCAACATTTTTTTGTGAACATTCTTTCAATACGCACTCGGGGTGCACACCCTTCAAACAGACATTTTCGCAGGAATACTTACATGTGCCTTCCAATCTGGTTTCTTCAAAACCTAATACATTATAGAGACTGTCCTGTATCAATGACAGAGTGAAAATCATCCGATTGACCAGCTAATCTTTTGGCATCGGAGTCTCTCCCCAAATTCCTAGTGGCGGCCAAATTCCTGTGGTCCTGGGGTGGGAGGGTATTTGAAGAGAGGGAGTCAGCTGGGTCAGCAAGAATGGAAACATCAAAGTGGGACTGGCATCTTTATCTGTCCGCCCTCCTCATCTCCGCCCGTGCAACTAGGCACTAGACAGGCTTGTCTCTGGGCGCTGCTCACCCTCTTGGGGATATTTATTTGGTCATGCAAGAAGTCAAACCAGCCCTTCACTTCCTAAAAGAGCCTTTTGGCTACTGTCTTGACCTAGAGGGCTCTAACTTTCCGTTTCTGCTTGGTTCTTCATTTTTTCGAGTGCTATTACACAGTGACCTCCCCAATCCTTCTTGTTGTTCTTGGCTACAGGGGCTGGGGCTTATGGCTTAAAAGTCAGCATTTCTCCAGTGAGGTTTCTCAGCCACCCAACCCTAGAGAGCTCAGAGCTTCCCTCTGCCCTGCCCAGTGGCCACTTCCCTGCGGTCATCTCTTTTCCTTCCTCTGTTCTGACTTCTAGGCTCTGACAGTGGAGCATCTCCTGCGCGGCTTGCTCTTGACCTGGGTGCCAAGGGCACAGGAAAGAGGCGACGGGGTCTCAGCCCTGGAGGAACCTGTCGCCCGGTGGACACCTGAGGGTAAACGGCAAACCTGCAGGAGCCCTTGAAAAGAAACAGGAGAACACATGCAAAAACAATAATAATACTTTTCATCTGTCTTCCAAAGCCCCGTCACTACGTTATTTTCCACAGTGATTTGGAAGATGTGGAGTCGGGGAGTGGCGCAGAGTCAGGCGTGTTCTGGGGAGGCTTCCAGTCAAGCTGGCCTGCGGCCCGCGAGAGGCCGCCTTGCTTGCTTTCATTCACCCGGGCTTCATCTAATGCGTGTCGCACTCCTCTGATGGGCCAGGCACCACACCTTCTTCCTTACTTAGAGGCAGAACTCACACCATCCCTGCTGGTCCGGTACCTTCCACCTTTCCCCTCCCAATGCTTGCCCTCAGTCCCACCTACTGCAGGTTCTTTTCATTTCCTCTGCTTCTATTTTTGGTGGAAAGGGGAGCAGTTGCTCACCACTAACCATACAATAACCCTTCCGAGTCTGTTATTAGGCATCCTCGGGGCTGCTATATTTACCTTCTAATAAACCCAAGCTTTCCTGCTCTGCTGTCCCAGGGCTGCCTGAAGCTGTAAAGGGAGGCCCCCACCGTAAGCCTCCTGCCGGCTGGGCCAGGCAGTGAGGAAGAAGGGAGGGCACGCACAGCCGGGCGCAGCTGGAGAATAATCGCCTGATTTAGCGGGAAAACCCGAGGCAGGTGAAACAGGTGCTGCCGAATCTGGTTGGTCAGGGCGGATCGGAGAGAGCTTTCAAAACACATTGTCCAGGGCTTAGTGACCTGCAACGACAGGGTCCTTCTCCCTGTCTGCGCTGTCCTCTTGACGGCTGCTGATTCCCAGGCTTGGGAGACCCCCAGTGGGTAGCTCATGCCGCCGAGACACCCCAGCTTAGAGGACTGGGGGACAGGTTGGCTCCTCCAAAGGGAGATTTGGGTCAGCTTTAGAGTAAGGTTGGAGTCGCCCCCAGTCCTCGCAGAAGTCACCTCCCGGAGACAGACTCCTCTCGGGGCTGAGCTGGGCTTTGGGAGGGGAGGAAGTACTAGTATTGCTAGCTGGAGGCAACAGGGCCAGAACTCTGACTTAAGTGCGAGGGCATAGAGGGGGGTGGATTTTGGGGAGCTCCCCGGCTGGGAAACTGTGCTTGGGAAACGGGGACAAAGGGAGGCACTGCAGCTGGAACCCGAGCCAAAATCACCACCCAGAGCGGGTCTGGCAAGGCCCCTGGCTGCACCGTGGCACGCCCAGCCCCGGCAGCTTTGTGGGGTGCTGCCGCGGGTCCTTACCACGCTGCCTCGGCCAGAGCTCCCCCGGGCTCTCCTGGCACCACCCGCTCCCCTCCATTCTCCGGCTCAGGGGATCCGATTGGTGAAGCCGAGGCCCTTTGCCCAGGCTCAGAAGGAGCGTATCTGGTGTTTTTAGCGTCTACAGTCGGAGATAGGCCTTATCTCAACTCATTAGATGAGGAATTCTCCCCAAATAGGAAGACACTGGCTGGTTAAAAGTGCATGCTTTTGGGGTCCCAGGAGTGAAAGCCGTGAAGCAATCACTCAGCCTTCATCCACTGAACTTTATTGGGCACGAACTGTGAGCCAAGCAGCAGGAAGGTGCTTTTCCATCCTCAGTGTCCTCTGGTCCCCACCATAACCTTGGGAGCTTGTGGGGACACGGAGGATGTCAGATAGCAGTGTTAGTCGTGAAAGGGGCTCAGAGCTCAGGCCAAGAGGCTTGGAGGTGGGAGAGGATGCTACCTTTCCGGAGAGGCAGCCCACGTGGCCTCTCAAGACAGTGTCCTTGGGGGAAATTGGGACCAGGATGACGATGACGTCCTCTTGCCATCCCCACTTCCCTCCTCCTCCCTTCTGTATCACACGATGACCTGGCCATCTTCAGTGTGGGGACGAGGAAATGCGAGGTGTTTCCCTTGCCCAGGGTCCAGCCGACCCCTCGGTACTGACGACCCGGCCTTTCTGCCTCTCCCTGCAGCCGCTAAGCACCACTGGCGTCCTGAGTTCGTCCTCCACCACTTCCAACAGGTCGAGGAATAGGGCTCGCTACCGGACCAAAGCCGTGAGCTCCGAGGTGGATGAGAGCCTCTTCGGAGGGGTCAAGGTAACTGTCACCCAGCCCCTCCAGGTAGCTGGCCCTGGGAGGCAGTGACCAGGACTGGTGTTGCTCGGGATGAAGCCAGTCACCCAGATGACTCTCAGAGGGAGACCCGAGCAGCCGGACGCTGGCATCTAGTGGGGCCCTGTGATCAGGGGTACCTGGCCCCTCCACCCCTGCAATCTTCACATCTGCCCTGCATTTAAAATCTGTTGTGATGTTGAGGGGGGCTCTGCTGCAGAGAGCAGGTCGTTGCTCAGTGAGTGCCTCAGGATGAAGACGTGTGAGGGCCACGGACCGAGCTCACAGACCTGGAGCAACATATTGCCCCTCCGTCCAAGAACAGCATCAGAGAAAACCACAGATCCTCCTCTCCCAGTTGCTCAACTAACAGGGTTCATTAGCTTTGGGAAATCCCGAGCAGGTCTTCATGTTCAGGTGTTGTCCCCACTAAGAGGCCGACAGCTTCTTCTGTGTAGAGAAGGAGAGCTAGCGAGAGCATGACTTGGAATATTCTTGGTACACGGGAAGTGCAGCAGGTGAGAAGGAAGGACAGAAGGAGAATGGGACATGGAGAGAGGGCAGTGAGAGACGGAGGGACAGAGTAAAGGACAGGAAAGATGCCAGGAGTGGTGTGAATGCTGGTGGGAACACCTGTGCATCCGGCAGGTGGTGGGAGCCCAGCGGATGTCCGTGCTCCTCGCTGTCCTCATTGTGAACCAAAAAGGACTCTCCAGGGGCATCTGGGTGGCTCAGTCGGCTGAGCATCTGAGTCCTGGTTTTGGCTCTGGTCTGATCTCAGGGGTGTGAGATCAAGCCCACCGCCCCACCTCCAGCTCCATGATCTGTGACCGGTAATCCGTGATCTGCGATCCTCGGGGAGTGTGATCCGTGACCCCGGGGAGTCTGCTTGGGGATTCTTTCTCCTGCTGCCTCTGCACCCCCTCCACTTGCGCATGTGAGCGCTCTCTCTCTCAAGGAAATAAATAAATCTTTAAACAAACAAACAGGACCTTCCAGAGGGTTCGAGAAGGCACCTTTCTCCATTTATTTTTTTCTGATTTACTTATTTTTAAGATTTTATTTATTTATTTACTTGAGAGAGACAGTGAGGGAACACACACAGAGGGAGAAGCAGGCTCCCCGTTGAGCAGAGAGCCCGATGCTGGACTCGATCCCAGGACCCCCGGGATCACGACCTGAGCAGAAGGCAGACGCTTCACCAGCTTAACCAGCTGAGCCACCCAGGCGCCCCGCCTTTCTCCATTTAGAAGACGGCCATCTGCATCGGTTTTCCTATCCACAGGGACAGAATCGGAGGAATGCACCCTCACTTACAGACAGGTTTTGTTTTGGGCCCGTGGGGTGATGAAGGGTTTGGAAATGGCCGAGTTCTCCAGGAGTCGTCCAGCTGGGACAGCGGGAGGGGCAGTCAGAGAAATGCCTGTTCCGGGCCCTTTTCTTTGGCCTCCTCGCTGGGGGAGCGGAGGTCTCTGAAGCGGCAGCAGGGGGCAGAAGCGGTCCGTGGCGCGCCTGAGTCGCACCCTCTCGGAAGCAGATGGACTGCAGCTGGTGGTAACACTCTGGGGACGGTCTGTGCAAAGGGCGAAGGGCGCTCAGGACCCAAAGGACCAGCACGACCTCCATGGAGGCAGGATCACGGTCGCTGCCTTCATGACAAATGAAATTCTCTCCTGCGTTCAAAATTTTCCTGAAATAAGTGCTTTCATTTTCTTATTACCTGACTCTTTCATGGTTGGAATATTTTGGAAAAAAAATCATACATTTAATATGTATGCCTTCTAATGCTGATTCCCTGACTTTCTAACCACATTCCATGTAAAAGCAGGTCTCCGCCAGGCCATTTGGCCATTTCTAACCTCCTCCATATGATTTTTTCGGGGGCGGGGGGACCAAAGTAAATTAATCATAAGGAAGGATTAAAAATTCCGAATATAATGGATTGCATGAGTCTGTAACAAATCGTATTATCTCAAACCACGATGTGGGTCCAAGAGAGATCATTATTTCTTCTTTCATAAATCTTAAAGGGAGGAGAACCTAGAGACCCCAGATTTTCGTGCCTGATGGTTTCAGGTTAGGAATGGACACACACTAGCCACTCCCCTCCCCATCCTTCCAGGACTATTTGCACAAGACATGGGAAGGCCTTGTTCTCAGAGGCGCTGGTCAGTAAGAAGGCAGCCATATTCAAGGGCAGAGCAGCGTACTGCTTTCTCAGTGCCCTGGAAACTCTTGGTGGTTCCGCCATCTGGGCCGCAGTCAGCCTTTTCTGCCATTGGATGGGGTGGAAGAAACAGGGGAAGGCTGCCCTTGAAGAAGTTGGGACTGACCCGCAGGATGTGGGCTGACCAGCTTCTAAGCCGGCTTCCTGACCCCACAGCCTCAGGCCCAGAGCGACAGCCCCATTGTGGTCCTCCGAGATAAGCATGCCATTCGGAAAACCCTCACTGCCCTGGGCTTGGAAAACAAGCCGGAGACCATCCAGCTCATCACCCGGGACATGGTCCGGAAGCTCATGTGAGTACCCAGGGCTCAGGGCCCTGCCTCCCCATCCCAGCCTGCACTTCTGCTAAGGACCTGTGCAGGGAGAGGGGCTATCTGATCTCCTCCAGATAGTCGAGCCCCACTTCTGTCCTATTCATCTCCCCTGTTCTCTTCCTAGCTCTCCTTCCTTGGCATCTTGGCCTCTCTTGTTGCTCCCCCTCTTATATCGATTCTTGCCTTTGCCTTCGATCCCCCGCTTCTTCTTTTCCCCTGTCTCCTGGCTGCGGTGGGACTCATGGGACTGCGAGAGGGGCCGTGCTTGGTGGGTCCTCTCTGAGCCCCCCTTAGTGCTCTTGGTAAAGAGAAATGGTCCAGATGAGTCAACTCCTTTTGGCTGTACCAAGAATCTGAAGTAAAGGGAAACTGACCAGATGCTAATTGGCCCCCTGGCTTCTTCCCAGGCTCTGGGGCCAGAAGAGGAAATTCCCCGGGGCTCTTGGGTTCCTTTGGGATTGGCTCTGCGTGGCTTCCTGACTAGAGCTGCCCCCTTGCTCGGTGCCCCTGTGGTTTAGGTCTGTAGCTCAGCAGGGGGAACAGCTGTCGCTGGGGGCGGTGGGGGTTGGTTCCAGCTGCACTCTCTGAAACCGTCCTCCCAGCCCTGGTTCCACCCGCGGAGAACTCGAGCTCCCAGGAAGTGTTGTCTGTGTCATGAGCTGGGGCAGCGCGGCTGGGTCACTGCCCCAGGAGCGCAGTCTGGTCGGCCCTGGTGGCGAACGGCCATGCATGGTCCGCCTCCTGCAGCCGCTGGTGGGGCGAAGGAAGGGTTCCTTTTTGGGGTGGGCCAGATCGGTCCTGGTCATTGCAGGTCCCGGGCCAAGCCCCGGATCCACTCACTCATTCGGCCCTCCTCCTGAACTGCTCCCCACCACACACACACACACACACACACACACACGCATTTTATGAGATGAGGTTTCACTTCCTGCCTCCGATGGTCTGCGTCTCCTTGCCGTGTCCCTGTTAAATGGCCTCACCCAGAAGCAGCTTTATTCCCGGCCCGGGCTGCTCCTGCCGCCTCCACCTTCAGTGTATGTCATTTGTTTGTAATCATTATAATTAGCTATTGGTTTGCTGAATGTGCTGGGCGGATAGGAGGAGAGGTCCGCAGACATGCTTCTGACTGTTGTTGATGAGAGATTTTAATTAATATTTAGGGCTCAAAGCTTCTCTCTGGGCCGGATGGACAGGGATGCTTAGGTTTCTCACAGCATCCATTTCAACCTTGTCTAGCGTCCCCCCTGCCCTTTTTATGTCATCCTTGAAGAATAAGCTATTTTTAAAGTCCAGTTCACCAGCGTGGTTTTGCGCTCTCCCTCTGGGCCCAGCCAGAGGCTAGGCGGCCACCGGGGCCAGCAGAGGCTGCATCCTGGAGGAGTGCGTGGTCCGCGCACAGGCCGTGCCCGGGGGTGGGAGGCACAGCCCAGGCCGTGACAGCAGAGCGCGGTGGCCTCCGAGGAGGTCGGCTCTCGGTCTGGTGGGGGGATTGGCCTATGTGCACATGAGGGGCGGGGGAGGGTCTCTGATGGGTGCACCGAGAAGGTGACATGCACACTAGGCCTTTCAGCAAAAGTCCTTAAAATGTCTCTGCTTGGCCCATGCCTCACCTGGGACCCCTTCTCCCCAGTGGGCCGGTGGTGCAGCGGGCCGTCTCTCCCGCCATGGGGTGGCATCGTGGGACGCCAGCAGTGATGAGGGAGGGGCGGAGGGCCGAGCACCTGTGGTGCGGTGCTGAGAGCTTCCCACTCCTCTCCACTGACTGTTCATCCCCTGGGGCAGCGTTCCCGCCAAGGATCCCTCTGGGGAGTCCCTCATCATGAGCCCTGAGGAGTTTGAACGCGTCAAATGGGCATCCCACCTGCTGACCAGAGAAGAGCTCGAGGCCAGGGAGCAGGCCTTCAAGAAGGAGAAGGAGGCCATCGTGGTAGCTGCCCTCCCCGAGCCCTGATCTCTGCAGATGGGAGGGGGGAGCTCTAGTCTGTGGGTCCTGGAAGGAGGCGTGAATGTGTGCTTCATGGAGACCAGAGACGTGCTAGAGTGGACACCAGGTGTGGGAACAGCTGGGGGGCGGAGGACGGGTGAGGAGGAAGCCAGGCCGAGAGACTTCTGGGTTCTGCTAGCACGATGGGTGAAGCCACCTTGAGGGTCCTCCTGGGTGGCCTGTGGTAGCCGGGCCAGCACCCCGGGCAGTCCCCTACTGATCCAGACTGTCTCCCGTAGGACGCGGTGACCAAGCGCAAGAAGATCATGAAGCAGAAGGAAATGGTGTGGAGAAACAACAAGAAGCTCAGTGACCTAGAGGAGGTGGCCAAGGAGAGGGCCCAGAACCTCCTGCAGAGAGCCAACACCTTGCGCATGCAGCAGGAGGAGGAGCTCAAGGACATGAGCAAGGTGGGGACTTCGTTCCTCCCCTCCTCCCGCCCTCCTCTTAGGCTCTGGATGGCCTCAGCTCCAGATGGACTTGGGGCAAGGAGGGGGTGATGGGTGAGGGGCTGGTGGAGGGGGGAGTTGCTGTGGTCAGAGGGAGGACTGGCCTTGCCACATGCTGTCTGTGTGACCTTCAGCAAGTCACTCATCCGCCCTGGGCCTCATTTTCTTCATGTGTCAAACAAGAGTGGTAAAACTACTTAGCAGGGTGATTCTCGGGGTGAACTGAGCTTTGCCAAGTGAGGACCTGCCTTCCCTTTCTCTCCTGCCGGGAAACGGGCTTCTCCTGAGGAGCCCAAAGGGCTTCCTTTAGCTGAGAGCATGAAGACAAGAGGCTCGGGTGGATTTTTTTTTCTCATTGGCATGTGGTTCACGTCCCAAGCACACGAACACCACTGACTCCCAACCCCGTCATCTACACTTCTCTCCCAGGTTGATCTGTCCTCATGCCTCCTTTTATTTTCCAGAGCTTTCACTTGGTCGTTCTTATGGAAGGCTGTCCCCTGATGTGTCATGTTGGGCTCTTCCAGCTTAAAAAGTCTAGTCGCTTGGCCTCTGCACGAGTGTTTCAGTTTCCCTGAGAAGTAGAACAGAGGGCCTAATGTTGGGGTTCATGGGTCCCTAAGGGGGACCTTGAACCTCTGAAGTTTTATGGAAATTTTATGTGTATGTATGTAAGTGAATCTTAAGGAGGACAGAGCCCATTGCTTTCTTCATATTCTCAAAGAGTGGTCCATGGCCCCCAAAACACGAAGACCCAATGCCCTGAGAGGTGCTAGTGAGGCTTCTCCTTGCATAGGCTAGCACTCTTAGGAGCCAGTGAGTGTTCACACAGAGCTACACTCAGGGAAGGGTGAGCACAGGAATGCTCTTGCTCTCCCGGGCTTGCGCGTGGCTGTGCGCGGGTCCGGCACGCTCAGGAGTGCCCTGCTCCCATTTCTCCCCTCCAGCTTCCACACCCCATGGTGCATCCCTCCCCGTCCTTGTGCCTAGACCTGGTGCCACCGTGTCATTCCCCCTCCGCCCCCCCCTGCAGATCATCCTCAATGCCAAGTGCCATGCCATCCGGGATGCCCAAATCCTGGAGAAGCAGCTGATTCAAAGAGAATTGGATGCAGAGGAAAAGCGGTTGGATCAGATGATGGAGGTGGAACGACAGAGATCCATTCAAAGGCAGGAGGAGCTGGATAGGAAGAGGAGGGAGGAAAGAATCAGGTACAGCGGTGGTTTTGGCATCTCCCTCCCTGTCATTTCCATGGGTCTTTAGGTCCCAGTAGCCTTGCCAAGAGGGAACAGAGGAGAAATGGTCATTACTACCATCTACTATGATCTCAAAACCTTATGATGACATTCATAGAACCGCAGAGCTTCTCAAAGCTGATTCCTCAGATCATAACAGGTGCCTCACAGTCTGGCCCCAACGCAGCCTCGTTTCCTAGCTTTTCCTGCCATCCCTCTGTGGTTCCCCGTCCCCCAGCACGCCTGGACTCCTCAGGGTTTATGCTTTTGTTGTTCCTTCTGCTTTGAATACTCTTCTCTTTCCTTTTCCCTTGGAAAATACTTTCTCTTCCTTTAGTATGTGGCTTTGCTGTCACCTCCCCTGGAAAGCTCTATCCCTTCAGCAGGCAGGCTCCGGGGTCCCTTTCTCTGCGTCCTGCCACACCATGTTTATACTCCAGCACATGGCTTCTCACACTGGGGCTCTCTGGCCCTCACCAGACAGCATTCCTGTCTTGGTTCATTCCTGTAGCTCCTGGACCTAGCAGAGCGTTTGGCCTGTGGCAGGTGCTTAACACACGTTAGGGTGAAAAATTCAGTCCCCTTCCTTTTGCAGAAAAGGACAAGTAAATTTATCGGAGCAGGTTATTTACCAAATTCACCAGAGCGGGTAAAGTTACCAAAAGGACGAGTAGATTTACCAGAACAGGTAAATTATAGGCCCACAGTGTCCCAGGTCTAGAACATCAACCATATAAGGTGAGAGTTACCTTGAACCACACTGACTGGCTCTGCTCTCTCCCCCTCTGAGTCTGTGCTCTTGAACCATTCGCCTCTGTGCTTCACGTAGGCAGCTGCTCGACTGTAGCAGGCTCCCCATAAATGTGGATTTAATGGCTAAGTGGCTCTTCATCTTCTGCATAAACAGCTCCAATTAAAGAAAAATCTCTGCCTCATCAGGCCACTCTAATGATCTGAGTTGGTCCTTATATTGAGCCTCAGCCCGCTTCCATGTAACTCTTTTACTCATTCCTCCTGTGTATTTCATCTGGAGTCATGAAGCCATTCAAGCGCTCCACCTGGATGGGAATCTCATTGTCCTTCCTCTCAGTTCTACCCTAACCTGTGTCTTCTCTCATTCTCCCAGCCTTTACTCATACATCATGGGGTCTGGATGCGTCTAAGTTTACTGTCATCCCAACAACACATAGGGAATCACTGCCACCAGCAGGGATTGTAAACTCTGAGTTCTCTGCTATTTACTGTTGAGCAAGGGCATCGCTGAGTGCAGAGGCTTGTTCAGACCCAGGGGTGGGAGGTCCGTGGCACGTGAGATGGGGCATAAGATAGACAGCTAACGAAGTGGGTGTGGGAGGTGGGTGGGAGACAGGACACACTGGGTGCTAGCCGAGGCACGGGAGGAAGGAGAGGTCCTGGGCTTTCTGACTGCGAAGCTGGCTAGGAACCTAGCATCCCACGGTTGCTCAGGGAGGGCTTGGGAGGCGGTAGGATTTCAGAAGCTCTTGACACACTGAAAGGCAGACTGTGCATTGCAGAGGTGCGGTGCACTCCTGGGCAAACAAATGAAGAAGGGGGGCCTCAAGAAGGGGGGCTTGGAAGAGGAGAGGACAGCACCCTCATGACACCGGACACTCGAGAAGGACTTTGGTCTGGGCTCATGAAGAGTAGCGATGTGTAGGGGGTGCTTGTCCAATTGTCCCTGGGACACCTCCCATCTTGGGGGTTATTTGGGTGGAGGCTGGAGCAGAGGAACGTGGACGTGGGTTTCTAAGCCCCTGCGGTACTTCTCACTCCTAGAGGAAGACAGCATATTGTGGAACAGATGGAAAAGAACCAGGAGGAGCGGTCGCTGCTTGCCGAGCAGCGGGAGCAGGAGAGGGACCAGATGCTGGAGTACATGGAACAGCTCCAGGACGAGGATCTAAGGGTAACACGCTGGACAGATGATGCCAAATTCCACCAGCAACAGCAACAAAGCTCTCCGAGATTTGGGGGTGTCAGGGTGTGGACTGATTTTCTGTCAGGCACATGCTCATTTCGCAACACCATCGCCATCAGTTTTTATGGCCTTGTTGAATGTTCATTTGGCTGTGGCGCTATACTGGGGGATGAACAGGGACTTGGACAGATTCTGTCCCTGCCTCCCGGGGACTTGGGGTCCGAGACCAACACATCCGTGGGCATGGACACAGAAAGGAAATATACAGCCATGTGCATTGCACACATAAACACAGGGATGTTTATTTATTTTTTTTGGTTTATTTTTTTTATTCTTATGTTAATCCCCATACATTACATCATTAGTTTTAGATGAAGTGTTCCATGATTCATTGTTTGTGCACAACACCCAGTGCTCCATGCAGAATGTGCCCTCCTCAATACCCACCACCAGGCTAACCCATCCTCCCACCCCCCTCCCCTCTAGAACCCTCAGTTTGTTTTTCAGAGTCCATCGTCTCTCATGGTTCGTCTCCCCCTCCGATTTCCCCCCCTTCATCCTTCCCCTCCCGCTACGTTCTTCTTCTTCTTTTTTTCCTTAACATATATTGCATTATTTGTTTCAGAGGTACAGATCTGAGATTCAACAGTCTTGCACAATTCACAGTGCTCACCAGAGCACATACCCTCCCCAGTGTCTATCACCCAGTCACCCCATCCCTCCCACCCCACCCCCCACTCCAAAAACACTCAGTTTGTTTCCAACACAGGGATGTTTAATAGTCTTCCCGCACCTATTTAGGGATGTGATACACTTTGTAGATGTCTTAGCTCTGTCTTAGGCTCAGGCTCCCTGCTGTTCCCTCACTCCAAGTACACAGCATCCGAACGTGGTTAATTGTGTGGAGGAGCCAAACCTTTTTTCTCCGTTCGTCTAGGTAAAATCAATAGGCATATCCACTGCAAAAGAAATGATGACATACCTGCCCAAAACCAGTGAACTTAAAGAAACCCTCTTCTGTTTGCCCGCTTCGGTCTGTTGCAATACATAAAGGCCGCTCGCACAGTGCGGGGGCAAGGGGAGCCTTTGGGGTGTTTATTCTTTCTGCCCCCCCTCAGTTTTTTACCTTTGAGAATTTTTGTTCGCACAGACAAGTTGAAAGAATTATATATATCACATCCATCGATGTTCCACCTGGATTTCATAATTGTGAATCTGCCATAGTTGTTTGTCTCTTTTGGGGGCTTATACGTATTCTGTTACTGTTAAACTCTTTCACAGCAGATATCTTGAGACTTTGCTACTAAATGGTTCAGCCCTTATTTCGGAAGAACAAAGATGCTCTCTTACCAGTCATCAGTACTGGTATCTCATCCCCTCGTGAAAAATTGGAATCCAGTGATTCTGTCATATCATTTAATACTTAATCCACATTCAGATTTCCCCAAGTGTTCCAAAAATGTATTTTCAGTTTTCTTTTTTTCAACCAAGATCCAATCAAGGTCCCTGCCTTGCATTCACTTAAGCCTCTTTCATGTGCTTTGACCTAGAAGAGTTCTCGTTCGTTCCTTCCTTGATTTTTTTGGCACTGGTTTTGTGAGGGACCCAGGCAAGTCAACTTGAAGCGTTTCCCCCATTCTGATCTGTCAGATTATTTCCTCATGGTGTCATTTAACTAGTGGGATCTGTATTCCTGATTTTTTTCTCTTCTTTCCCCACGTTAATGGACGATTGGGTTGTCATCCCCCAGTGATTTGATGATGGTTGGAACCAACAAAAACAACAACCTGAAAAGTAAATAAATAGGCAAAGAAGTAGGTCAATGCATGATGGTATATCTGTCCTAGATCAGTGTTCAGCAGGTTTTCTCCTTGTGCTGGTCAATGGGATTAAATAATGGGTACTGATGGCAGGCCTAAATCTGGTGGGAAGCAGGTAGAAAGGAAAGGAAGAAAGGGAGAAGGGGAAAGGAGTGGAGAGTCACTGGGCCAGGTGGGGAAAAGTGGGGTGAGTGAAGAGGTAGGCGCGGGGAGAGTGAGGTAATGCTGGCCGCTGTGACTCACGCACCACAGCCGGGTGGGAGGCAGTGGGTGCTGTGCCGATCTGGTGCAGAAGGCGTTCCGGGAGGCCTGGACGTGGCTGTGAGTCCAGCTCGGGGAGAGCCAGCAGAGTTGTCTTGGATGAGTCAGGGCAGAAGCTGGGCTGAGAAGCAGCTGGAAGTCTAGGGTGGGGCATAGCCTTTGAGGGATGGAGGGAGCTGGAAACGGTGCGTGGGGGGAGTTGTTGGGTGGAAGAATTTGAAGGAAAGAGGTGGAGATTGATGGGAGGATATAGGTAGGCCAGCTGCATAAGATTCTACGTTGGGACCCGAGAATGTGCTCGCTCTGATCTTCAGGCTTTGAAAGGCTCAGGCTCCTTCCTTAGAAGGGATCTTGTCACTCAGGGTCACACTGGCACCCTGTCCTCCATCATTCATTGTCTTTCTCTGTGTCTACCATTTTTTTTTCCCTTTTTCTCCCATGCCACTCACTTTGGTTCCCCCTTGCCCTGTTTTAGTTGATTATTTGCTGTTTTCCTCTCATTGGGCTACACATATTGCCAGGGAAGACAGGAAGTGTGACATGGTCCCCGTCCTCTGGCAGGGACAGGATGAACACACAGGAATGAATGGGGACCTACAAGGCAGGGCCTAACCAAATCCCAGGAGGCGTGGCACCGTCTTACGTGCAGAGGGGATTCAGAAATCAAGAGAGAACTGGAAGTTGGGGCAATCTTCCCGAGAAGATTGGAACTTTAATTTAGAAAGACCAGGTTTTGGGGCGCCTGGGTGGCTCAGTCATTAGGCGTCTGCCTTCGGCTCAGGTCATGATCCCAGGGTCCTGGGATCGAACCCCGCATTGGGCTCCCTGCTCTGCGGGAGGCCTGCTTCTCCCTCTCCCACTCCCCCTGCTTGTGTTCCTTCTCTTGCTGTGTCTCTCTCTGTCAAATAAATAAATAAATAATAAAATCTAGAAAGACCAGGTTTCAAAATTCTGGCACTGGATTTTGTTAGCTGGATGGCCCTGGACAAATAAATTTGGGGCCTCAGTGTCTTCACCTGCATGAGAGAGAACAAATTCTACCTTTCAGAGTTTGGGGATGTATTTGGGTTTCAGAGATAGGCTATATAAAGGGCCCAGTGAATAGAAAATACTCAGTTAGCAATACTTTATTATTTCAATCATCACTATGGAATAGAGACCAGAAGCTAGGGTTTGACGAAGAGAGGGAAATTGAAGGCAGGAGAAAAGACCAGCAACAATGGGTAGGACTTCTCATGACATGTGGGAGACACCGGGGAGAATTTTAAGAGCCTCCACTTCCCCGAGAGTGTATAGAAATCATCCGAGTCGGGCTGCCACCAGCCACGTGAGTGCAGACTGCAAAGAGGCCATTTGGCTGCGAGGGGTCATTGGTGAGGCTTGACCAGAGGCTAGCGGCGGCAGCTGGCCTGCAGATGGGGCATGTGCCCCTGCCTCTGTGTCTCTGTCCTTATGGGCCAGTGTCTCTGGGTCTTGTCCCCTCCTACTTGGAGGCTCTTTTCCTTCTGATGGCAGGACATGGAACGGAGGCACCAGCAAAAACTAAAGATGCAAGCTGAGATTAAGCGCATTAATGATGAAAACCAGAAACAGAAGGCAGAGCTGCTGGCTCAGGAGAAACTGGCAGACCAGATGGTGATGGAGTTCACCAAGAAGAAGATGGTAGGTTTCTGATGCCCGGGACTTCTGGCCACGGGGAGCGTCAGGCCTGAGATCTAGGGGACTCATGACAGGAAGCCATGTGTCCATTCCAGAATTCATGTTCTTCGTTCAAGGGACTGGCTCCTTCTTCTCTTCATCTTGGCCACTGGTTCATTAATAGAGAGTAGGCTGGAAGGGACACCCAAATTAGGATGTTATACCCTTGTTAACATCTTTGATTAGAAGTTGGATGAAGGTCAGGTACAAACTGGGAAGAAAATGAAAACTACTGAGGAAAGGAAAGTTTTTGTGGATTCCTCATGGAATGCATAATTACATCCCCAGTGATCACGGGTCACCTGCCCCATAAATTTCTTGTGAAAATTCCTGTACTGGGCATCCTGTACTGGGGGCTAGACTCTGAGAGTAGAGCTTCTCCCACCACTGCTGTGGAAGCTGTCAGCATAAATGCATCGCGGGGCAGAGAGTGACCCTGCTCATGGTGAATGGGGAGATGCTGCTCATGCTGCGCGGACTCACTCAGGAGCCAGGCTGAGGAACGGAGTGATTGGGGGCAGTGCGGAATGGGGGTGAAAAAGCTTCTAAGCCCAGTTTAGATGGAGTGGTGGTCTCTGTTCTTGCAGCTGGGGCTGCCCCGTTAGAGCTAAGGGCAGAGATTGGTTGTGGATACCTCTGGAGTTCCCTACCCTGCCATCCGGTGCGAGGTGGAACAGAGACCAGCTTTGACACACAGCCCCTGTGCATAGCTCACAAGTAGGCAACTCACTGGGCTGCCCAGGAGTCTGGGCGGGTAGAATGATGGCTATGGAATATTCTTTATGGGAACGGAGATCACATTTCCACCCAGCTCAAGCCATTAGTCTTATGACTACCCAAGAATGGTAGTTGGGAGGCTGGGTTTGGGAAGATTTTAGGGCTATGTCTGTTCTTCCAGTGAAGTGGCAAAGGGAGCTAACTTTGATGGTTCACTCCTTGCGTATCTGCTAACCACAGTGGAACTGCCCAAAGCATGGTTGGCCATTTGCCCAGGGACTAATGAGGTAACTTCCACCTGCTGCACTTTACAAGACAGGCAGGGTGCCACAGTTGTTACTTGCAGAAACGTGGCCCAGTGGCCTTGCAACTTAGACATTGTCTGCAATACAGTGGAAGGAGCATGAAGGCTGGGCTTGGGATACCTGCATTCAAATCCTCTTTGGTTGTTGACTAGCTCTGCGATATTGGGCAGGACCCTTGATCTGAATGAATGTCAGTTTCCTCGTCTATAATACCTGTCCCGTAAAATGTAGTAGGGGCCCTCTGGGATCATATAGGAGGAAGCATTTGGTAAACAGTGAAGGATTTTGCAATGCTAATTGACTTTATTCATGCATTGCTAGTTATTTTGCCCTACCTTAAAAAGAGTCAGGGAGTGATATGGGAGATACTGGACAGACTGTGGCAGGAACTTCGTTTCTCTGCAAGGCTGGGGCAACGGGAGCTGCTCTACAAGACCTTTTCTTCCTGGCAGGCTCGAGAGGCAGAGTTTGAGGCTGAGCAGGAGAGAATACGGAGGGAGAAAGAGAAGGAGATCGCCCGTCTGAGGGCCATGCAGGAGAAGGCCCAGGATTACCAGGCAGAGCAGGTACCTTCTTGGTCTCGGCTTCCTTGGGGCTCCCCAGCTCCCTTAACTATTCCCTTGACAGCCTGCAAAACCGACCTGACGGACAGAGTTGCAGAAGGGGTGGGGCGTGCTGGTTACCTAGACTTGAGTCGTCTGAGGGCTAAGGGGTGAGCTGCCCCCAGTGCTTGCGGCAGTGAGGACTGCTCAGGGCATTATGTGCTGAAGGTTCAAGAGAAAGCTTTTGGCTGCCACGTGAAGAACTTTCAACTGTAACTATCACTGAACTGTGTCACCAGGGGAACTGTGGCATCTCCATCATTAGCAGTTTTTAAAATGAGAGGCAACTGTAGGGCCCCTGGAGGTGTTGGAGGTGTAGGGAAAGAATTGGGATCAGCGGTGGGGGAGGACAAGCCAAGACCCCCCAGGGTATCTTCTGACCAGAAAGTTCTACAAGATTCCACGTACGCTTTCCCGCAATAGTCTTGCTGCCAGAGAAATGCACGGCACTCCTCAAAGAGGGCTGTGTCAGAGTCTGCAGTCGGGGTCTTCCTAAGGTACCCGGTCAGTTCCGAGGTCGGTTTGCACCCTCGCGGGTCTCCCCACCTTCTCCTTTCCCAGGATGCCTTGCGGGCCAAGCGCAACCAGGAGGTTGCAGACAGGGAGTGGCGCAGAAAGGAAAAGGAAAATGCGCAGAAGAAGGTGGAGACAGAAGCCAAACTGCGTAAAAGCCGGTTGGAGCAGGTGGCTTTCAAGGAGCACGCTCTGGCCGTTCAGGTGCAACGGGACCGGGATGAGTTCGAGAGGATTCTTCGGTAGGTGGGGCTGGGAACCTCGGCTTCCTTTCCGTGTACTGTGGCAGGGATGGCCCCTACTGGGCGGAGAGGACTTGCTGGCATGTCCACAGACAGATGTGCATTCATCTTGCCTGGGATGGCGGAGTCATTCCAGCTAGATGCAGAGCTGAAATGCGCAAAGACAAGAACTGAGAGCCAAGAATTTTCTGATTAGGGATTTGGAAGACTGCACCTTGACATAGCTAAGGAATTGGGTATTATCGGGATTATTTGTCCCGGAGGATTAAAGGTGTAAGTAAAAGTATGTCTGGTCCCTCTGCCCTCCCCTGCCGCCATGTCCCCCTGTAAGTTAGGGATGAAGCTGCAGCCGGGAGGTCGAGGAGAGACAGAAAGAACTTCAAACACCAAGGCCGTGGGTCACTGGGGAAGAGCCTGGGTTGGGGGCTGGGGTCTTTGCCATTCATTTGATAAATATGTTTTAAGCGTATAAATTCAAGACTGTGCTGGATGCTTCAGGAGACATTAGAGGTGAACAAAATGCTGTCCTTGCCAGTTCATGTGGGAGGATGTGGGAGACTCATGTTTGGATGGACCTCACCTATATTTATCCATCTTGCCTGCCTTGCCAACCCTTCATCCTTTTATTTTTGTTCCCTTTTGGCTCAGTGAAAATTCCCACCCGTAAGTGGAAGTGAAGTGTTCACATCTGTCACTTTCCCCGCCCCGCGTCCACCCCCAGAGCTGCCGGCAGCCAGAGCTGCTTTGGCGTCTCTCAGTCTGATCTGCCACCACCAGACCCGGCCCTGGGGGTGTCCCCCTGGCACTGTTCTGGACAAACTGGGAATGACTCCTTTCTTGCTCTGGTTCAGACTCTGTAAGATCAGAAGCTTTCAAAGGAAACAAACAAAACAAAATTGGAATGGGGGGTGTAGATACAAAATAACAGAAATTACGCTCAGGTAAGTGGAGAGGCAGTGGTGCAGCCCGGCTTTCTGGTCTACCTGCTCTCAGTCCTTGGCATGGCCCCAGGTACTTGCATGCCAGACCAGACCTGGGCCCCCACCCAAGACCCACCAGCCAGAGGCAGAGCAGACCTGTAGGAACCTCTGCCCTTGTCAGAGCCAGGCTCCTGGTCTTTTATTGGACCGTGGGCCCCCAGCCTGTCCCCACCAGCTGCGGTGCCCTTTGGCTCCGTAGCTTTGCCTGCCCACAAGGGTCGTGCCATGGTCCCTGGAAACCTTCTGAAGGAAGTGGCTTCCTTAACAGCCCCACAGATTCCGCCCCTGGGCTCCAGACTACCTCTCAGATGTCTGCCCTCACCAGCCTGTGTGCCCTTGGACACCTGTGTTGCCTTTAGCAGGCACTAATAAATATTAATGGGAAGAAATTAAGGGTCCTACTTCTGCCACTGACCCATTTGTCCCTTCTTTGCTTTGTTTGCCCAAAGCATGTGCACTAGCCAGTTATTAAAGTGAGACCAGCCCTTTGGACACGTTCAGCTTCACCCGATGTCCTAGGTTAGCATTTAGACCTGCTGTCTCCAGGGCCATGTGACCACCAGGGCGGGTTTCTTTTAGCTCTAGGAGCGTCTCTGCTGTAGCCAGCAATCCAACTTTTCCTCCTTCAAAAGCATGACCTCGTAGATGGCCTCTGTATGTGCTTCCTGCTTCTGGAGAGAGGGATGCCTTTGCCTGGGAGCCCACTGACTAAGCAGAGATAGCTGACCTACCCTACCCGGTGGCTCTCAGAAACACCCGGGAGCTCACATAAAGTCCTGTGGCCCGGGCTCCACCCCCACAGATTCTGATGTAACTGGTCTGGGGTGAGGCCCTGGGCAGCAGCAGGTTTTGGAAGCTCCCGGGTGACTGTAGTGCAGTCAGGCTCCAAGGTCACGGCTATAACCCTGTGAAGTGACCAGGCTCGCCCCATTCAGATTTCCAGCTGCCCAGGGGTTCCCTAGTGACACATGCAGGCTCCCGTTTCCAGCCTGTTTTGCTTGAGATGAAACAACAGAACCCCATTCTCTGTATAGGAAAATACAAGGGCAAGCGAGGAGGTGTGGTTTCTTGCTATCACGGGGGCGTCTGAGTGGTTGGGGTTGGAGTATAAATGGAGAGGGGTGAGGAAGTCGGCAGGTGTCTCCGGGCAGACTGGGGGGCCCTGTGGCAGGTGCAGGTGACCGCAGGTGTGCGGGAGTTACCGAGAGTTGAGACGACACTGGTGTTTCTCGGGGCCGGGGAGATGGCTGGCCAGAGGGAAGTGGATAAGTGACATGGTGCTTTTCGGAGCTTTGTGGGGTACCAGTGCCCTCAGGGCAGGGAGCAGGTGAGAAATCCCTGCCCAAGATGATTTTACATGTTGTTCTCGTTTTTGGTTATGTCGAGAAAGAACTAAGATGACTGCTCAGGGTGGCCGAGCTCAGCGCTTCCCCTGAGATGTGAATACATTTCATTTGAGGTTTTTTGGAGTCTGTCTGGCCCACGTTGGCTGCTTTCTCCAGGATATTAGGGCCCGTGAAAATCCCCTTGCAAAGAGCCTCCTATGAGGAATCTGGAGAGCTGGAGAGCTGGAGCACTAAGAGGCCCCAGGGACAACTCCTTCTTTCTTCCAGCAAGTAGGAGAGCTAGCTTTACCAACACCAGCACTTGTCACTTCTGAGCATCCCCTTTGCAGTTTTGTTAATGTCATTAGGATTGTTCGTGGGAAGGCAGAAAGGGAGAGAGAGAAAGAAGGATATCTTAGAACCAGCTAGAGAGGAGCTGTGCATCGTTGCAAAAGAGAAGGCTGGAATAAAATAGCTTCCAGTGGGTGAAGCCCTGAGTACAGGCCAGCTACATAATTTGCAGGGCCTGGGGGATCCCTTGTTCAAAAAATATTGAGAATTTCAAAACGGTGACGGAACAGAATGGAAGCAAGCACGGGGCCCGTCTAAGCATGCCCCTGACATGGAGTGCCCACGGCGCCGGGCCTGGCTGAGGAGAGGGGCGGCATGCACGGAGGCGGCCTGGAGGCTGGTCTCTGAGCCTCAGAAGAGGGTGGGAGTGTGCAGGCCTGTGGTCTCTGAAGCATGTTCCCTGGAGAAGCCCTTCCAGAAGGCTTCCTCAGTGCCTCTCCTCGCTGGGCCAGCTCGGCCTAGTCCATTCGGCAACCGGTGTCCCCGCTCCAGGGCTCAGAGAGAGCAGATTGAGAAGGAGCGGCTGGAGGAGGAGAAAAAGGCCACCGAGCGCTTACGGCATGCCAACGAGCTCAGGCGCCAGGTACGTGAGAACCAGCAGAAGCAGGTGCAGGACCGCATTGCCACCTTCGAGGAGGGCCAGCGCCTCAAAGAGGAGGCCCAGAAGCGGCGTGAGCACATTGATGACATCAAGAAGAGAAAGATTGAAGAGCTGAGGTGCGCTGCAATCCGTGCGGCCCACCTCCCCTCCCCTTCCCCGAGGGCGGGGCGTGTGGGAGTCAGGGGACCGGAGGGAGGTGGCAGGCGCTCTGGGAAGGCCCCTTCTCCTGACTGAAGGCTCACACAGGTTGTTGCCCCCTGAAGGGGGCTCCCTCTGAAGGCTCTGGGACTGGGGCTGCCTGGCTCTGTGGGAGCTCCGAGGCAGGGGGCTAGAGCCTTGAGGGGAATGTGTTTGGGGGACGGACTGTGGGAGCAGGGGTGGGGGTGCGGGCCCCCCGGTTCCGGGGCCCGCTTCCTGCTGCCTCCTCTCTGGTCCCATGCCCCCCTCACACCCGCCCTGTGTCCCCCCTGCAGAGCCACCGGCCTTCCTGAGAAGTACTGCATTGAAGCGGAGCGCAAAGCTAACATCCAGCCAGCTGCCTCTGTGAAATGAGGGGAGTCTCCGTGTCCCCAGGGGTGCCTGCAGGGGACAGGCTCTGCCCAGTCTCTGGGCATCCATAACTGCCGCTAACCTAGACATTTTATAGTTACAGATTAAATTTATTCCACTTCATTAAGCAACAGCCCAGCTTTCTTGGGGGGCGGGGGGCTGTGGCTGCTGAGGACATATGAGCTGCGAGCCCAGTGGGCTATGGGAGCCGGGGCCGTGGGCGATGTGATGCTCTGGGGGGGATGGAAGGGTGCTCCCTGCTGGTGGTCCCTCCTAGCTTCACGGGCCCTTGCCCTGCATCCCCTGGCTTTTTGGGGGCCCTGGGGGTGTTGCCTTCCTGTCCACCTTCAGCACGGCCTTGCTCTGGCCCTGTTCCAAGTCCAGTTCCAAGGCATTTCAGGGCGTGGGGCTGGAGCCGCTCTCTCAGGGAGGGGCTGGGGCAGGAGGGACCAGAGCTGCAGACGCACGCTCCTACCGGGCACCTGTGACTCAGACCACACCTGTGGGGGGGTGGCATTTGCACCCGGCTTACCCTCTGGCTCTGCCCTCCCCTGCCAGAGCCCTTTCCGCTCCAGGTGTTGCCACAGCACAGACACGTCCCCCCTCCAGCCGCCAGGCACACCCAGGGCCCTGCTCCTCACCCGACCTGGCTGCCCCTCACTCAAGCGGCCGGGCTCTCCTCACTCCACCTCACCCTGACGGGGGGGGGGGCTCCCCGCGGCCATTGTTGCCTGTGTTAGCGTGCCTCCGGTCTCCCCAAAACACTCTTGGTCATTCATTCCCTCATTCAAATGCTGCTTGAGTGCCTCCTTCGCTGGGTGCACGCTGGGCGCTCAGTGCAGCAGACCTGGGTCCACCCTCGTGGACGCTTCTCCTCTGGGCCAATCTGCTCCTGTTCCTCCCTCAGCTGCTCCGCCACGTCTTGCGCCTTTACGATAGTCTCAGCGTTTTTGGAAGCAGCCAGATTACCAGGCTCCTTGTGGGCTGAAGAGCTGTGGTTCAGGGATGGAGGCTTTTTCCCGTTTTGTATGCCTGGGGGGTGGGGAAGGGCTTGCCTCCCAGCTCCCAGCCCCACAGCATCACCCTGCCCCCTCCATACTCCCCTCCAATCCAGAGCCCAGTCTTGCCTCCCTCGATGGGTCCTGCCCTGGAGGAGGCAGGGAGCCGCTGCTGAGTGCGTCCTGGGTGTTTACAATGCCAGGTTATAGGGGCCTTGGGCAAGAGTCCTCTTTTCATAAGGCCCAGGGAGAGTGGGCAGGAAAGCTGCTCCCTCTGCTTCCTTCCTCTTCCTCAGAGAAGCCTCCCCAGGTTCCTTCTCCACCTGCCCCGCCCTGACCAGGCTAGCTGCTGGGGAGGGGGGCTCTCACCCTCCTGCTCAGTGCTCCTGAGGACGCCCCTCCTACCTAGGGAAGCTGCTCCCTTCCTCCCAGAGGTCTTGGAAAGATGTGGTGCTCGCCCAGGATGGGAGGGCTCCCTTGATCTCATGGCAGCACCACTGAGGTTTCTGGCACCTTCTGTGGCTGGCTCACTTGCTCAAGCTCCCTGGGTGAAGCCTCTTGCAGTTCCTACCTGCAGAGACCAAGCCTTGAGCCCTTCCTTGTTCCGGGGGACCCTCCTGCCAGGAAAGCCAGAAAGGGCCTTGGGTGCCTGGAGTTTGCCCAGACCCCGACCTGAGTCACCCATCTCACGACCAGGAGGAATGGGTTTCATCGGAGTGAGGGTGGAGAACAAAGGACGTTCCAGGCCCATTGCTAACTTGTGAGGCCACGTGGAGAAAAACGGGTGACATTCACAGGCTTAAAGCAAGGCTTGCATTTCGGCAGAACTGCTGCCTGAGAAACCGCAGGTCTGTGGGGTCTGGCAGAACCCACAGCCTAAAACTGAGACCATCCTGACCTGGCCTGGACACGGTAGGGGCGGGCAGCTATAGGTCAGAATAAAAGCCTGGCTTCAGAGTTGGTGGGGACAGAGCCTCCTCTGAGCAGGGGAAGACAGTTTGGGGAAGAATCTCCCAGTTCTGCCATCAGAGTTGCTCCCTCTGGGAATTCTTGGAATTGGCCCGTGACGTGGAAGAGAGGTTTGGTTGCTCCTCTTGGGATTCCTCAACAGCCCTGCACTGGCCTCCTCCGGCTTCGGGACTGGCCTGAATCATCCGCAGGAACCCAGTTCCTAGAACTGGGACATTCCTCAGTGCCCGGCAGGCCGCTGGCTTCGGAGGCAAGCAGGGAGCATCTGGGCTGCGTCTTTTATAAACCCTCCGCCCCCTCGCTGAGAACGGCAGGGGAGATAGTGACAGGGAAGAGGTCCACGGCATTAGTGGGGGCTCAGGGGTCGGGCTGCAGGAGCTTGGTGGCAGAGCCCGGCTTACAGACTGGGGGTGGGCCACTCTGGGGCAAAGCAGAGAGACAAATGGAATTCCTTGAGGACTTAGTGGGCCCAGAGCTCAGGAACAACCAGCCTCAGTCTTGTTGCTAGAGATTGGGCCTTTGGGCGGGCGGTGCTTTCCCCTAGGGAAGGCTTTGGTTTTCCCTCCTCTGCTCTGAGGTGGAAGTGAGCTCTGAACCCCTCAAGCCACTGAAGCAGCCCAGGGGTGTCTGGGAAGCTGCAAAGGGGAGAGCCGTGCTGGGCGAATCAGGGAGTGTTTGGTGCATTGTCTTTGTTGATGTAAAGGTGTTAGAAGCTTGTGGAAAAAAAAAAGAAGCATGCCCAAGCTACCGACTTAGTTGTATGGGTACCCAAGGGACTCCCCAGCTGCCTGTCCCCTGCTCCTTGGGTCTTCTGGTCCTGGCAATGTCAGACTGGGCTGGTGGGTGTAGCCTGGCAAATCCAGAGGTTGGGCTCCACCTCGGAGCCCTGGGTCAGGTGTGCAGGCGGCTGCCTCCCGGGCATGTGACCCCGGCTCCTGGCTCCTCCCGTGTCCCTTCCTGCCCGTGTGCCAGTTGCCTGCTCCCTATGCTTGGAGTCCCGTCATGCTCCACTGTGGCTTGGAGGCGGTCTCAAACCTTTGCACCTGCCCAAGAAGCAGCTCCAGTGGAGTGTAACTCAGCAGCCTTCCCTCGTGGCCAAGCCAGGCTGTCCCTGACTCAGTGGGGTGCTGGGATGTCCTCAGCAACCCCGAGCACCTCAGCATCCCCATCTGTGACTCGGGTCACAGCCGGGCATTAACTGGTCTCAGTAAAAGCACTTTGATTAGGCTCGGATGAAAGAGGCTCAGAGAGTTCAAAGCGACACAGGGCTTTTGGGATGAGAAAAAGGAGAGTAGAGCGGAGACGCGGGAGTCTCAGACAAGCGGTCTGGCTGTGGAGGCCATGGAGCTCCTCACTGCTCTCCCTTTTCATCTATGCCGACAGTTCCTTCTGCAGAGCGGGAGCCTGGAGACAGCTGTGCGGGAGGATGGCTCGCTCCAGACCAGGGTCTCCCCCGGATCCGAGGCTGCTGCCAAGGTTACCGGCCTCCCTCCCTCCCCCTCCCACACTCTGGGAGGTATCCCAGCAGAGCACCCAAGGTTACCTGAAAGAAGCTCATTTCCAACATCACAGAAATCCAGAGTCCCAGAAAAGACTAAGTTGCTCTTCATCTGCCTGGCTTTAAGTAGTTAGACCTTCCCTCTCTCTCAGCTTTCCTAGCTCAAGCTCTGCATCGCTCCTTGCATCCTGCATGTCCTCTTGGGAGACACGTGGCCATCACCTCAGTGCCCATTGATGGCTTTGAGGCTGGGACAGGCATAGGGTTGAGCTTTTGGGTGGCTTTTTCAGGAGACTCCTGGAAAGAGGAGTCGGGGGTGGGGGGGTGAGAATGGAGAGCAAGAGAAAGTGCCCAGAGCTAATGAGCTTTTCTGTATGGCCCCTGGGGAGAGACCATCCCCAGGCCTAGTGGGGTGAGCACCAATCAGAGAATTTCAAGTCTGGAAGGGACCTGCAAAGACCCTCTGGTGCTTGAATGTCCTTTGTAACCTCTAATCAAACGACTGGGCAGTTTGAGCTTGCACACCCCTGGAGACAGGATGCTTATGACCTCATAAGGCAACCCAAGCTATCCCAGACCAGCCCTGATGGTCAGAACGTCTTCCTGTGCATCCCCCTGCCGGCTGGGACCGCACTAAACAGGTCCAGGCCCCTTTTACACACCACACCCCTTCAGGTACCTCATACCCCGGTTCCTGTGTAGTCTGGCTCCGTGTGGGCATGTGTTCAAATTCTGGAAACACAGGACTCTTCTGGGCATTTTGTGGGCTGGGGGCGGTTGTTGGAGGGAGGAATCGGGGGTGGGGGCAAACAGGGAATCTTTATCCCTTGGGCTGGGCATTAAGCCATCCTGACAGCTAACACCTCCACTGTCCTAGCCAGCCCTGGCCCAGCTGTGCTGCCCCTGAGCCCCACCCCCTGCACCGCCTCCCCCCACCCCTCCCAGTGTCCGGGCAACGGGAAACAAATGAACACAAGGAGAGCAGAGTGAGGGTTGGCCGGGCGGGCTTAGTGGAGAAGGCTGAAGCAGACACACTCCCGGCTGTCTCCTGCCCCTGCCGGCTTCCACTGTCAGGGGCCGCCCCGGGCGCCGAGGAGGACCACCGGGCCCCTCTGCAGTATGTGTTGGGGGGGGAATCCACATGGCACAATCAAAAGCAAATTTTATTTCTATAAATTCAAAGCAATGTGCCCCTGGACGTGTGGAGTAACCCAACCCAAGGTCTCTCCATACGCAGACGTGCAGGCGTCTGGGACGACCAGTCTGGGTTGTCTGGTCCATCCTGAAGGCCTGGCTCCAATCCCACTGACTGCCCTGCTGGAGTGGGGAGCAGCTCCCCAGAGGTCCGGGTCTCCAGGATCTTCCCCTCAGTGCGAAAGGCACCATCGGCCGACTCTCCCCGCTTCACCCTCTTCTCTGGCGTGTCCGGCACCTCCCTGGTTTATGTCCCGAGGACCGACACACGCTCCCGGGCGCATCATGAGTGGTCCTCCAGAGCTACTGGAACTCCAGTCCCACCAGGTCAGGGGGCTGGCCGCCCATCGCCGTAGCTCACGAGCCTGTGAGCGAGGGGGCACCCCTTCCCTCGCTGCTCTCCCCCCCAGGCCGGGCGCTCCAGAAGGACAGAGCAAGTTATGCTAATGGCTGCCGCTTGTGGAATGGATGA